TTCGTTGGCTGTCTTTCCTCCTCACCGACCTTGGTGAGCGGCCTCGCTCTCCCCCAGTCTTGTTCGCCGACAACAGGTCTGCTATCCTGTTGTGCGAGGAGCCCCGACTGGTTGGGAAGGCGAAGCACATCCAGCTTTGTTACTTTCTTCTGCGAGAGTTGCAGCAGCATGGCCAGGCACTCGTGCGACGTGTGGTCTCTGAGGCCAACACTACAGATATCTTCACCAAGGCGTTGCCGCCTTGTGACCACCAGCGTTTCTGCACCCAGCTTGGCCTTCTGTCTACAGGCCCTCACTTGTTTGCGTAGAGATGCTTTGTCTTGTACTATTGCATCTCACTATATATCATATATCTGTGCTTGTGGACAGGCCTTGTGGCCCCTTGCTTTTGTAGAGATGCTTGTCATGCATGTCTTGTACTCTTGCATCTTCTATATTTGCTTTGTCATTGTATGTGAACTGGCCTTGTGGCCTCGTGTTTGTTCTCGGAATGCGTGGTGATCTTGAGATCCACCCCGGGCTTTGTTTTATTCTTCTGAACTGGTCTTGTGACCATTTTTTGCTCTTGCTGGCTGGTCCTGTGACCCTTGCTCTTAGACTGTATGTTGCTTTCCACAGGACTACCGTCACCTAGACTATGGGGGTGTGTCAAACTAAAATTGTTATGGTTTGTATTTGCTAGTCTAGGTGGTGTACACTTATGTTTAGGGTTGGCTAGGGTTGACCAGGGTTTGCTATATCGTCCTTGTCCTTGTCATTTCTAGTCATTGATTATTCCGTTACCTCGTTGACACACTGCGTTACTTGTGCAGTACGTCAGGCATGGGGCTTGTGCTTGGAGGACGGGGCTCAGTGGTACTCACAGGACACTCAGACGCTTCGTGGGCTGACGACCAGGCGACTCAGCGGTCGTCACATGGTTACTCCTTCAGTCTCGGCTTTGGTTCTGTCTCGTGGAGTTCCTCTTGTTCGTCTTCTGTGCTTGGTTCCAGCTGTGAGGCCGAGATCTATGCTGGGGCTATGGCTGCGCAGGAGTTACGCTGGCTGACCTACTTGCTGACTGACTTGGGTGCCCGGCCTCGTTCTCCTCCAGTTCTGTACATCGACAACAAGGCCATGATTGCCTTGTGTCGGGAGCTGGGACTGGAGCACAGAACGAAGCACATTGCTCTTCGTTACTTTCTTGCTTGAGAGTTGCAGCAGCGTGGTCAGCTTCGCCTTCCTTACGTGGCCTCTCGGGCCAACACTGCTGATGTTTTCACCAAGGCCCTTGGGTCTTGTGATCATCAGCGTTTCTGCACTGCTCTAGGCCTTGTGCCTACTCTGCCTCACCGGCTAGTTGCTTGACTTTGCCTTGTACTGTGACCTGCATACTTGCTCTTGCTAGGTTGTGATCACTGTACTTCTTGTGCTTTTATAACTCTGCATGTGAACTGGCCTTGTGGCCGCTTGCTTGTGCTCAGACTGCGTGGTGATCTTGAGATCCACCATGAGCTTTGCTTTGCTTTGTTCTCTTGCTTGACTGGTCTTGTGACTGTTGGTTGTTCTTGCTATCCCCCACTTTGCCTATGGGGGTGTGTCAAAATATATTTGTATATCTGTAGGCTGTAGTGGGGTAGCTTACATAGAGTACAGCCCTTTTAGGGTTTCCCTACTTGTACTTCTGTTTCATCATTGTTAAGTCATTCTTGCCTGCTATTTCTGACAAGTCGACTGGTCGCGGGAGAAGCACTGAGACACACCAGAGTCCCGCATGAAAGAGAGTGTCGCGTCAGCCATAGGTGCATCTCGGCTAATAGCTACACAAGCACCTAGACTGGAAGCACAAGCACCTACATTAACAACAGGCAAGGATCCTAAGCTACGAACACGCGAGCAAACGGATCGAGCAGCATTATACTCAACATCGGCATACATCACAGAAACAGAGTCCAATGCATCAACATACCCCGGATAAAAGACCCGGGGGTATTATAAGAATCCCACCCCAAAAATGGGGGGGGGGGGGGGGGGGGGGGGTCTTAACAATTGGCTACATTTTACAAGACATGGGTCTTATCATATGGTCATAAATATTACTTGTGGTTTGGAAGCTAGACATGTAAACAGTATGTGCTCCGTTTTTAGCATTCAAAAGGAATACGCGGAATGAACTCCACGACCGTCAAAAGCACGTCACCCAGCAATCACGCTGGGTGCCTTCTCCCATTGGTCCCAAAACGTGGTTACCACATCACAAGTGGTGAGCAGAGGGCCGATATGATGGAGAGGATGATGGGTAGATGTGCTTTTTTGAGTGGCTGTTACCCCTCCATAATGAATATGATATGGGATTTGGTGTGGAAAATAGTAGAAAAACTATCAGAATTTCATTCCTTGCCTATAGAATGACCCGGTCTCTAGGGGGAGGGGGTCTTATAATGTTAGCCCCCCAAAAGGGGGGTATAACTACAAACGACCTAATTAGCGTACCCCCCTCCGTATTATAGACCCGGGGGTCTACAACTGGAGGGGGTCTTATATCCAGGGCAAAGCAGAGGAAAAAGATGTTGGACAGGATGATGAGTAGATGTGCTTTTGTGAGTGGATGTTACCCCTCCAAAATGAACATGATATGGGATTTGGTGTGGAAAATAGTAGAAAAACTATCAGAAATTCATTCCTTGCCTATAAAATGACCCGGTCTCTAGGGGGAGGGGGGTCTTATAATGTTAGCCCCCCAAAAGGGGGGTATAACTACAAACGACCTATTTAGCGTACCCCCCTCCGTATTATAGACCTGGGGGTCTACAACTGGAGGGGGTATTATATCCGGGGTATTACAGTAACTCTACCGCAGACATGTCCCACAAAGCAAGTCCACGAGAGCGGGCAAGCAGGGCCCACTCTGGAGCGGGGCAAAAGCCGTACTGTGCCCGGACGCGGTCCGTGAGCTGCGCAAAGCAGTGACCCAGAGCGTGGAAACGACCACAGCGCTGACCCTCACGGGCGCACGTCTGAACCACGTACGGGCATGTCAGAATGTAATGTTTGTCTAGCCTGCAGTGGGGTACTCTATAGCGAGTACAACCCAACTTAGGGTTTGCTATATGTACTCAACTGCCTGCTAGTGAAAACCCTCCTTTCCTGTTTCTAGTTTCTGCCTACTGTTTCGACATGCTATCAGAGCAGGTCGACCCTCCTGGGTCGATCCTGTGGATGGGCCCGCCACCTAATGCTTCCGCTGCTGTCCTGCCTATCGCGCGCCCCAGGCGCGCGACGTGTTCTGCTTGCCGCGCGCTCGGGTGCACGGCGTATTTTTCATCCCGCCGCGCGCTCGGGGCGCGCGGCGGTTTTCTGCCCGCCGTGCGCCCCGAGGCGCGCGGCGGTTTTCTGCCCCGTCGATCCGCGCGTCGCCCCCCGTCGCCCGTCGCAACGCCCCCGGGGACCCGCGCGTCGCCCCCCGTCGCCTGTAGCGGCCCGCGCGCGGCCCGTACAGCCCGCGCGCGGCCCGTACGGCTGCGCCAGGCCCGCGCGCGGCCCGTACAGCCCGCGCCAGGCCCGCGCGCGAGCTGTACGGGCTGCGCCAGGCCCGCGCGCGGCTCGGGCAGCCCGCGCGCTGTTCGTCCGACATGCGCCAGGCCTGTGAGCGGCCCGTACCGTCTGCCCCAGTGCCGCACGCCGTCCCCCGAGCTTCTGGCCGCACTCCTGTGTTAGGGTTTGGGGGTGGAGAGTATGGGGGTGCCGTGTGTGTGAGCCGTCCCTTGCTCCTCCTCCTCCTCCGTCTCCCACTGCTGCAGCTGCCGCTGAGGGGGGTGGATGTGTTGGAGCCGTCGGAGTGGTACGAGGGGGGTGGCGTGTGAGCGGTGCTAGTGGTTCAGCAGGGGGTGTGTGAAAGGGGTGTGGGGCAGTTGGGGGAGGTTGACCGGAGGTAGCCGACTTGTCGTCCGCAGCGCCTGAAGTCCAGAGAGCCACGACCCCCTATGGCCGTGTAGTCCGGGGCTCTGCGCCCGGTAGCCACAGTGTGAGCACTCCTGGTAGTCCAGAGAGCCACGACCCCCTGTGGCCGTGTAGTCCGGGGCTCTGCGCCCGGTAGCCACAGTGTGAGCACTCCTGGGAGCACAGTGAGCCAGCTGCGCCTGTCGCCGTGTAGCCCGGGTTTAGCCTGGTAGCGTCAGTGCTGCGCACTCCTGTTGCCCGTGTGTCTGCAGCTTCAGCCGTCGCCTCTCATCTTCTCGCCCCCACAGTTTCTCCTCCTCCTCACTTGCCCTCTGTGATAGCCTCTAGCTTTGCTTGTATTTGTGAATCTACTGCTCTGCCTGCTTGCTGTGCTGATTATACCCCACTTTGACTATTAGGGTGTGTCAGAATGTAATGTTTGTCTAGCCTGCAGTGGGGTACTCTATAGCGAGTACAGCCCAAATTAGGGTTTGCTATATGTACTCAACTGCCTGCTAGTGAAAACCCTCCTTTCCTGTTTCTAGTTTCTGCCTACTGTTTCGACAGGTCAAGGAGGCGAAGTGACACCACGCGACGCCGAGCTGGGCGGACCACCACCACGACCAGCGCTCCCTGGTCCACCAGGTCCCCACTGCTGAGGCTGCTGCTGCACCTGCCGCTGAACCTGCTGCTGTGGCTGTCCCTGGTGCACCTCAAACGCCCTGTTTGGTGGTGTCGAGCCAATGTTCGCGCCACAAAATCTGGTTAGTTGATGGTTAGTTGCTGGTTAGTTGCCGGTTAGTTGCTGGTTAGATGCCCCACATTTGAGTGCTACGGAACAGGGCCAAAGAGTACCACAAATCATTATAAGGAGATGGATTGCACAGGGGAAGCAGGGAAGCACCACATGAGTAGCCAGAATATTCTAGAAGCAGAAGTGGGGTCAAGCCAATGTATCACTTCCACGTCAACCTCAACGCTTGATAAGCCTCATTTATATTGATATGCCTTGATAACATTTTATTGGTTATTAATCCCGCTGGAAATTTACGCCTTGCGTAGCGTTCCATTGGAACCTGGCTCTAAAAAGGAGTCGATCCAACCATATTGCCTGGGGGCGAGTAGTCGCACACCCACATGCCCCCCCCATCCGCACACTGGGCAGCACCGCACCCCACCTTTGTGGTATCCCGCCACACCACCTGTGTGTAGTGCCCACACTGCTTGCCGCTCGCACACCCCTCTGGTATGGCACTGTACGTCCAGTCCGCCTTCTCCTCCACCCACGCCTGCACCGCTGCCCGGTCCTCGTCACTGTTGAGCTGCACAGGGCCCTTCCAGTACAGGTTCTGCCCAAGCCCATCCGCTCCTCCATGCTCCATGATGCATCCTCTAGAGGCAAGCTCGTTTGCCCATGCCTGCGCTGCTGCTGCCACCCCGTCGTCCCATGAGAGGTCCGGCACACCCACTTCCTGCCGGGCCTTGTTGTGCTCCTCCAGAATTGCTGCCACGTCCACACTGCTGCTGCTGCCACTGTCGCCACTGCCGGTGCCGCCGTTGCTGCCACCGTCGCCGGTGCTGCCGCCGTTACCACTGCCGTTACCACTGCCGTTACCACTGCCGTCACCACTGCCGTTACCACTGCCGTCTCCACTGCCGTCCCCGCTGCCGTCCCCGCTGCCGTCACCACTGCCGTCCCCGCTGCCGTCCCCGCTGCCGTCCCCGCTGCCGTCCCCGCTGCCGTCCCCGCTGCCGTCCAAGCTGCCTTCCAAGCTGCCGTCCAAGCTGCCGTCCCCGCTGCCGTCCAAGCTGCCGTCCAAGCTGCCGTCCAAGCTGCCGTCCCCGCTGCCGTCCAAGCTGCCGTCCCCGCTGCCGTCCCCGCTGCCGTCCCCGCTGCCGTCCCCGCTGCCGTCCCCGCTGCCGTCCCCGCTGCCGTCCCCGTTGCCGTCCCCGCTGCCGTCCCCGCTGCCGTCCCCGCTGCCGTCACCACTGCCGTCCCCACTGCCGTCCCCGTCAGTGCAACCATCCGGGTTTACTTCCTCCAGCTGCCTGGGATAGGAGGCACGCAGCAGCAGCTTGCGAGGCGAACTGGCACTCTCTGACTGACCGGTGCTGCTGATGGGTGTGACGCCAGCGAGAGCTGGCACGGCGAGTGCAGATGTGACTATTGCGAATACTGCAGACAGGAGTCACGTTTGGAACGGGAGGAGAGGGAATGACAGAAGGGAAAATGATAGACGTGGGCAGGAGAGGAGAGGGAAAATAATATGCCCACGTAATTGAGCAAGCGAAGAACAGGCGAACTAAGATTACGAGAACAAAAGATGGAAATGAGAAGAACAAGAGAGGAAAGGAGGGGGGGGGGAGGGGAGATTGACGGAAGGGAGAGGAAAGGAGGGGAAAGGGAAGGAGGGGAAAGGTAAGGAGAAAGGAGGAAATGAGGGGAGAGATAAGGAAGGGAGAGGAAAGGGGGAAGGGAGAGGGAAGAACAGGAGGGATAATAACAGCGAGAGGAAAAGGAGAGATAAGAAAAGCAGTGACGGGCATGAGTAAGCGAAAGCTATCAGCCACGTATTTGAGCAATGACCAACTCAAACCACAACGGATTCGCGCACTCACCCCTTCCCAACAACAAGGCTTCCGGCTCTCACCCTATCCCAATCGGATCCGAGAACTCACCCAACGCGGCGCAAAAGAGATTAAACATTCGGACGACAGCCATTGTCAGAAATTCCGATTCTGTCCTCGAGTCGAGGACAGGCTATAAGCTGCGAACTTGTGACGAAAACTCTCACTGATTGGTGTCAGAATGGTAAAGGTAAACTGAAGTCTGAGTCTGATTGGGTCAGGCAAGGCTGGAATGACAAGGGCGAGCGGGCTGCTGAAACTATGGCGAGGGATGATGTAAGGGTAAAAGGCAGCTCCATTTTATACTTCAAGAACGCGATTGCAGGCGCAAACGGACAATAGAGACGTCGATGTTCCGTCGGAGGCAAACGCGACGCTTCGCGGCGCAGGTCGCACGAGTGTGACTTCGTATTACAAGACGTCGAGATATCTCTAGCAAATGTGCTACGAGCAACCAGAGCACCGGTCTGCAATGACCGGCTGCAAAAAACGCGACGCTGTGTGGATCAGAAAGGATTGGACATCGTGGCGACAATAATCTCGCGGCTTGCCTGGCAGCGAGCGCCAGTGTTTGGTAGCAGCCGAAAGCTGTCGAAGCGCAGCACAAATAATTGTGTTGGAGGGGGAAAGTGGGTCACATGTAGGCGGTGTTCTGTTGCCGCACCACTTGATGCGGGGGCGGACAGGACAGCACCGCATCACATGGTGCGGCATCAGGCTTCCGCGAACCATCAAACCCCCAGGTTGGTGCAGCACAGCCTCCTGCCACACTCCGCGCAATTGCACAAGTAGCGACAGCACAAGTAGTCCTGGGCAGTGATTGGTTGGCGAAAGTTGTTGTAGTGGCGATGAAAGTGGCAGGAAGTATTTTTGTTTTCTTTCCAGACCGTGAAACCTTCTCTTGCGATGGCAATTGGATGGTTGGATGGCCTGAAAGCAAACGAGCCAACCAGGACAACGAAAAACATTTTTCCCTGCCCCGCACCACTTGATGCGGTGCCTTGATCCCCCCTCTGACCCTGAACCAGGCCCGCACCAGTCCCGCACCCATTTTGCCTGGGAGTGCGCCAGTGGTTCACCGTTCTTTTGGGCGAACGGACTGCACTGCACTCGTTAGGTCCGGGAAGAGGTTCAGTATCCCGAGCCTAGAATCAAGGAATACGCCCTCATAAATGAAGCTCGCAGGATCTCCGGTGGAACCCCGGAAGAAGCATCAATCTGGTGCAGTGCGGAGGGGTACGGACCAAGTGGTGCGGCAACAGAACAGGGCCGTAGTTGGTTCAGAGTTACTGAAGAGTCTGTCGCCAATTGAAATCGCAAAGGAACTCGCGGATCCTACTACCACCCCAAAACCATCGTAACCCCCTGTTGAGGGAAGAGTTCGAGCATGTTCGTGCAAACACTTGTACCCCTTTTTCGTCACAACTCCGTATGCGATGTACGTGCGTCCGTACCTGCTACTTTCTGGACTTCTGTTAAGAGTGCAATTGAGCGAGCGAGCGAGAATTGCACTATCGAAGCAAAACAATACTGTTGAGCGAAAAGCATGAGCGACGTTATATATCGAAGATAGCATGGTAACGGTAATGCGGGAATTTGGGGTGCGCTACGGGCCTAGCGCCGAGGTCTGGGAAATTGTCGAGGCGGAGGTCCGGAGCGCGGGTTACCAACCGAACCGTTAGGTTGGGTCGCATCGCGAACAGTGGCGGGAGTCGTGGCCGAGGCGAGTGCTGCGAGCGGGCAACGTTTCACTGTGGGTGCCGATGGCGGGAATGGCCATGTACGCGGTAAGCAGGGGCGCGAAGTAAGGAAAAGGAATTTTCCTTACACTACCCCCCCCCCCCCCCCCCCCCCCCCCCCAAGGAGGCCCTCCTTACGAGAGCGCGTGTACATCTCGAAAGTTTCGGCTGCGCAGGTACTCGGTGAGGACAGGGTAATTCTCAATTCTATCCAGGGGGGCCCAGTTGTCTTTGGTGGGCGTGCGGTCTTTCCAGAGGATCAGGAATTCGATCCTGCGGGCTCCCCGTGGGTCACGTACTCGGTGGCTCAGGATGTTTTCGGGCGTGATGATTGGCTCTGTCGGCGGTCGTGTCATGCTGGCGGGGCGGTTGCGAGGCAGTTGGCTGGTGGATGGTGTTACGATATGGAAATGTTGAATAAACATTCCTGAGTAACGAACCCTTAACGTGAAGATGACTGCAGCGATGACGAAAGACCAAGCGACAAGACAGTTATCGAGATAGTTTCAACCAGGAAGAAATTCGAAGTGCAAAGCGCGGGAAAAGTTCAAACGGTTACCGAACCGCACGGTTGCAATCCTGCATCTAGGTTAGCCCTAAGGGGAATGTACCCCCTCAGAGTACATGGCAAGCTAGGACTTTTTGTATTCCACTGTATTCCTATATAAACCCCTGTATCGCATTGTATTAGTCACTTCTGTCGAGATTCAATTCTCCTTCTACAGACAGAGTCCGTACCCGACATTACCAAGCAATCTTCCGCTGCTACACTCCGTGCGATCAACCTGAGACGATCCTATAAGACGGTTCAGATTGTATCAGATGGCACGTATGGGCGAAGCAGGCTGACGTGGAATGACGGGCTGACGTACCAGTCAGCAGGGAGGAGGAGATGGGCGGTGACGGGTGTGATCATGTGGCTGATGCGAAATGGCCCGCAATATCGGGGGCGAAGTTTTGGAGTGATGGGCAGGCGGAGGTTTTGAGTGTCGAGTAGCACGAGGTCGTCGGGCTGGTAAGTGACGGGTCGGCGGTGGCGGTCGGCGTTACGCTTAGCGCTGATGTTCGATTTTTTTATTGCATCTGCTGCTCGGGTCCGTGCTGCTTCTAAACTTTCTGCGAATTGTTGCGCGCGTGGCACTGGGTTATCGGGATTCGGGGTCATGGGTACTGTGGGGTCTTGTCCGTAGTTCAGGTAAAATGGTGACTGCTGGGTCGTGGCGGATGGCGAGTTATTGTACGCGAACTCGTTGAGTGGCAGTTGCTGTTCCCAGGTGGTCGGGTCGTCGCACGTGGCTCGGATGAGTTGCACCATGGTCTGGTTTGTCCGTTCTCTCTGTCCGTCGGTCTCGGGTTGGTACGAAGAACTGAACTGTAGTCGCGTGCCGAACTGCTGCCACAGGTTCCGCCAGAAGTTGCTGGTGAATTTCGTGTCGCGGACGCTGATAATTGATGCTGGTATCCCGTGCAGTCGAACGACGATGGAGATGAAGAGGCGGGCTGTTTCTTCGGCTGTGATTGATTGTTTGCAGGCTGCGAAATGTGCCATTTTCGTCAGCCGATCGACGACGACCAGGATCGCGTCGTTCCCACTTGCTCCAACCGGTAACCCCGTGACGAAGTCCATCGTCACCTGCTGCCAAGCACGCTCTGGGGGTGGTATCGGCTGCAACTGCCCTACCGGCCGTTGCCGTGATGACTTCATGATTTGGCAGGTGGGACACGATGCCACGTGTCGTTGCACGTTGGTCAGCATTTCGGGCCTGTAGTAATACCGCTGGACCTGCTGTCGTGTTTTCTCTACTCTGAAATGTCCTGAGGTTGTCAAACTTATATGTGCTGCTTATTGTTTAGGCTGTAGTGGGGTAGCCCATAAGGGGTACAACCCAATTAGGGTTTCCTACTTGTACCCATCCTGCTGCTAGTTCATCCATTCTCGTTAATTCTGCTGACATGGTTTCAGAGCAGGTCCTAGCCTAGGACCGTTTTTTTTTTAGGGCCCACCGAGTAGCGCTACCCCACCCGTCGCGCCGCCGTGATCGCGCCGCCCTGCCCTGCCCTGCCCTGCCTCGCGCTGCCTGCGCACGCCTTGCCCTGCACGCACGCCGCCCGCCGCAGCGCGCTCTTCTTTGCCCGCGCGCCGCCCGCTGCAGCGCGCCCTGTTTGCCGGCGCGCCGTCGCGCCGCCTGCCGCAACGCACCCTGCCCTGCCCGCACGCCGCGCCACCGCGCGCTCTGCCCTGCCCGCGCGCCGCGCCGACGCGCGCCTTGCCCTGCCCACGCGCCGCGCCGCCGCGCGCTCTGCCCTGCCCGCGCGCCGCGCCGCCGCGCGCCCTGACCTGCCCGCACGCCGCGCCGCCGAGCGCCCTGCCGTGCCCGCGCGCCGCGCCGCCGCGCGCCCTGCCCTGCCCCCGCGCCGCGCCGCTGCGTGCCCTGCCCTGCCCGCGCGCCGCGCTGCTGCGCGCCCTGCCCTGCCCGCGCGGCGCGCCGCCGCGCGCCCTGCCCTACCCGCGAGCCGCGCCGCCGCGCCGTCCTGCCTTGCCCGCGCGCCGTGCCCTGCCGCACGCCCTGCCCTGCCGAACGCCGCTTGCTGCTGCGTTCCCCTGTGCCGCCCTGCCCTGCCTTGCCTGCGCGCTGCCCTGCTGCTAGCGCGCTCGCCTGCCTAGCCCTGCCTACGTGCTGCTCTGCTGCTAGCACGCCCGACCGCTCTGCCCGCTATGGCCACGCTCAATGTCCTCACGTTCGATCCGGAGGGCCGCCCGATAGAGTTCGATGCGTGGCTTGATGACTTACAGCTGTTCTTACTGAGCGATTCCAATGACGGAGTTTCACTGTTTGATCTCACGTCTGGCGCCTCTCTCGCCCCTGTCGCCATAGCTGACAGTACGACTCGCTCACAGTGGCTTACTCGTGACGCTGCTGCCCGCCTAGCCGTTTGCAACCACCTGCCGTTAGCCGAACGCGCTCACTTCGAACAGCATAAGACTGCGAAAACACTGTACAACGCTGTAGTCGCTCGTTACTCCTCCCCGGCCACTCCTGCTCTAGGCCGCCTTCTCATGCCCTACCTGTTCCCAGAGCTGTCCGACTTTGCCACAGTAGCCGACCTCGTCACTCACCTTCGCAATAGCGACACTCGCTACCGCGCTGCGCTTCCCGCCGAGTTTCTCGCCAAGAACCC